GTTCACTGCACGTATTTTGACCCCTGATTCTGTCAACACAGTCAAAATAACAGATGAATGTGAATGGCGTCAATCCATAAAGTGACCAGAATTTAAAACTTGGTCTTGACTCACCGACTCTCACGAGGACACATCGGAGGTCTGACTGATAACTGGTCCCACTGAAATCAAAACACAAATACTAACATTTGACGGTTTCGTTTCCAAAGCTTCGGTTATGTTCCCGCGGACGTTTAAAGAATGAGACACTGACTTGTGAGCTGCTTGGACAACAAAGCAGATGGGTTGACTCGCTGCAGGATCACGGTCATCTGGCGTCCACCTCAGGACAAACTGACCTGGTCTGTTCTGGACTTCATCGGCTATGACGGTTACGTTATGTGGTCCACTAAACAGCAGCTTAGAAATCCTTGAAGAAGAAGAAGAACGCAGGAATCTTGAGCTCCAACCAAGCGACGTTCCACAGGGCAACTGCTGTTTGTTCTTTTTGTGTTTATTCTCCTTTGACTTACGTGGACTTATTTGCTGCCGCCGTGATGTTGATCTCCAGCAGCTGGTTGACGGTAGCGCTCAGCTGAGCTCTGTTGTTCGGGGTTGGAGGCAGGAACCTGGGCAGGTAGAGTCCTTCTGAGCAGCTCGGCACCGCTGGATCCACTGGAACAGCACAAAACCACAAAACTTCAGGTTGGGATGGATTTATTTACTGAAACAGGTGGACTGTACTGTGACTCCACAAACAGACATGTCAGTAAATGTACCACAGATCAGCTGTAGTGCCTGGTTGTTCCACCAGGTGGAGCCTCTTGCTGTTTAATACTGGAGAGACTTCTGTGACGCCTCATAATGTCAAGCAGGACCCAATAGACAATTTAAGGATTTCCAGTGTGACAGTTTGGTGTCTTTTCTGATGTTTTTATCCGGTTTTCGTTGTGTAAGTCTTTGGGACAGTCTGTAATTTGTTTTCATTCTCTGCCTGCAGTTCACCTCAAAACTCGATGAACTCTTGTCCTGTCACCGTCGGTCACAGCCCAGGCTTTCACAGCTTCACAGTTGCACTGAGAAGATTAGAATTTTTTTGGTTTTAAAGAATCTGGTTACTGTACAAAAGTGACTCCAAACACTGCAGAAAGAGACGCTGCTGTTCACACTTTGCATCCGGCCAAGTGACCGAGCCTCATGTCGTCCATCTTTATCTTTGGTCTCCTCACGTACTGAGTTTTGTTTCTTACCCTTCAGAACAAACTGGACTGGGATTCTGCTGATGGCGTCTCCGGTAGTTTTCTCCTCCATCGAGCCGTTGGTTTGCGTCAGAGTGATGTTCTGTCGAGGGAAGTCCTCCATCAGCAGCTGCACAGCGAAAACACCTCCATCGCCGCCGGAGGGCTCAAACGTCAGAGTGCAGGACTGGAGGGAGAGCAGACGACCAGCATCAGCGCTTCTGCAGGATGTGAAACACTCTGATTTAGTAGCGACTCACGGGTGAAAGGCTGAGCACGGACGGCGGCTCGCTTTTAAATCTGCATCTGACGTCGTCTTCATCAGGGTCGAACTTCAGCAGGTCGAAATCTCTGCGACAGTTTGAAGGAACTCTGAGACAGAAAGAAACATTCAGAACCGTCCGACTTCAACTTCACACCACAAAACCTCTAAAGGAGGACAGAAAACATTCATTTGAACTCAGGAACTGTGAATCGAGGCGACTCTTCTCATGCTGGACTTCAGAATACGAGCTTAAAAATTAACCAGATCTGACAAAGTTCCCTCCAGAACCTCCTCAGAACATCTGGTTCTGTATCTGCTTTATCTACTGATCAGAGTTCTACCTTCAGACTGTGAATGTTCCAGAGGTCCAGGTCCTTCAAGTCCACAGAGGAGGGTCCAGATTGATCACTTTAATGGACTTTTTCCATCATTTCTGAGCCTCAGAACTTCATCGTGTCATTTTCAGTGAGCTACGAGGCTGCACAGAGTTCTTACCTGACGCTCGGCAGGACGGTGGTTTGCGGTGAATTATTTGCTCGTGTGGTGTCCGATCGTCTCCTCGGATCCACCAGAGTCACAGCTCTGAACGGTAAAGTGCCATTTTGGATGCTGCTGGTCCAGTTTCCGCCCGTCAGCCTGTGGAGGGAATCACTGATGAGGCACTGTGGTGTGTAGGGAGCTGAGTGGATGAATCAGGGCCTGCTGGTGACTCGTCTGGGATTCATTGCAGTGATAAATGGTCCCACAGTGGCATCGTGTGAATGTCATTTGGTGTAAATGTTTCTGGAGACTCACAGCAGCTGAAACGGAGCGTCGCCGTGAAGCAGCCGGCTGGACACCAGCTCCGTCTGACACCATCGTTCTGCTTCGTCTTCGCCCACCGTGTTCACCGTCGCCGCCGTCTGATGCCCACAGCTCCCACTGAGACACTCCCAGTTCACACTGGTGCAGCGCTGGGAGCTCAGCTTGGAGCGAACCACCACCTGCAGAGTCAAAGACGTGGACGGACGCCGGTTTAAACTGTAGTCCTGCTTTAACACAGCAGCTGCACACTCACCGCTCACAACAACTAAATGAAATAATATGAGAATGTCAAACAGTTAGTGACAGGAAATGAACTCACGGAGACGGATCCGCCTGCAGCACTGTGTTCAGGCTGGGAGCTCGTCACTGTCCCCAAGAACTGAACTCCTGACACTGTGTTCATCAGCAGCACAGACGGCAGCAGAAACCTCAACATGGTCATCGAGCACGTTTCCACCGACATGTTCCTGGTGATCTGCTGAGACCAGATGACAAGAATGTCCCCAATCAGACTGAGTACAAACTGTCCAAAATAACGCAAAAAGAGTCAAATCTTGCCCAAAATTACACAAAACTTGTTCAAAAATGCTGAAAAATTCCTCAAATTACTGAAATTTGTCCAGTTGAGAGACAGTCAGAAATAACTTGAAGCTGTTTTAAATGATTCAAAACTGGTCCACGATTGGTGAGAAATGATCTATTAACTCAGATTTAGGAGTCACAATTCGTCCAGAACGACTCAAACTTGTCCTAAATGATGCACCAAAATTATCCTGATTGACTTAAACTCGTCCAAAATTAGTTGAAGGTCAAAAATGACTTGAAACTGTTCAAAATAAGTCAAATTTTGAACAAAAGGACTCAAAAATTGTCCAAAATAACTTGAAACTGACCTAAAATAACTCAAAATAGTCAAAAAATTATTTGAGGCTCTTTGAAACTTATTCTTAAAGAAACCAACATTGTCCAGATTGACTCAAACGTGTCCACAGCTGGTTAGAAACAACCTGAAGTTTGTCCTAAATAACTCAGAGCTGTCTGAAGGACTCACAAACGGTCCTAATTGACTCAAACTTGTCCAAAGTTAGTTGAAAATGGTCCAAAGTATCTCCGAAGTGTTCAGCAGTCGACTTTAGTCCAACGTGTCTCTAAAGCGTTCGGAGCGACGTGAGGTTCGTCCTGAATAACTCCCTCATGACAAACCTGCCTGAGATCGCTCAGCGTCGTCGTCACTCCGCCCAGATCCAACCTTCGTCCTCCAGATGTGCACAGAGATAAAGTTCTGGCTTTGTGGCGAGTCGATCAGCAGCCGGACCGGTTCTCTGTAAAGCTCTCACTGAGGCAGAACTTGTGTTCAGACATCAGATGTTGAAACAAGAGTCGCCGAGATTAAAGAGACTCAACGTTTCAGTCGAAAACCTCCGTCAGGCGTCACAGACGACGACACGTCTGCAAAACACCGAGACAGGAGTCCAAATGAAGAGTTCATCTGCAAAAACATACGACTGCATCTTCACAAACCTTCAGAGAACCCACTGTTCCATCACCTGCCTGAGACAACGTCTACTGAACTTCATTTATCTCTATTTCTGTCATTTCTGAGTCAGATCCACTCAGCTTCAGTTTGATTGATTTTATCTCAACGAAAACAACCACAGAACAAGTTTTCTGAAAATCTACAACAATGGAGTTCTGTGATTTTGCAAATGAACTTTTCTTCAAAAGGATTTGAACGGAGTTAAAAATGAGCTGAAACGCATCCGATCCGTCCAAAATCACACGTTTGACCAAAATACTGTTAAGTCCAATTAAAATGAGCCAGAAATGTTCCAGAACTCCAGATTGAACAAAATGACAGAGACGACCACTACGTACAAATAAATACATCGATGTAGACAGCACACACCTGATATATATATATATATATGTATAGAAACATAACGATGTTCAGCTGCTCTCATGTTGGTCTTTGTTTCAGGATTCTGTCACATCTGTTGACCTTCATTCATTCATTCATTCATTCATTCAACTTTAAAGAGAAAACACTGTGATCAGGTAAAAAAAAAGCACCAATTCCAGTGAACTCGTGAAAACACACTGGGGTTTTATTGGATGTTTGACAGAAACAGACGATTCAACATTTTGGACCCCGATTCAAAGAAGTGACGAGTTTCTACAGTTCAGTCCGTCAGATTTGTGATTTTATTACGCCTGTAAAGAACTAAAGTAATGAGTAGATTCTGAGCGCGGAGAGTGAATTCACAGAAAGAGTGAAGAGTTCATGGTAATAAACACACGATTAGACGCAAAACTGTGCAGGAGAAACGTCTCTTTTGCCTCCTGGACTTTACAGTCAACTCAAAAACGTCATTTCCATGATTAGTTTCCATTGTTACACTAAATGAAAGTATTTTTCACATGAACTTGTCTCTCCAAAGGTAAAAACAACGTTTCTGTGGACTGTAACAGTTTGACTGTTTCTAACTCAGGCTGATGTGTGTTAGCCTCAGCGCTAGCATGGCGGCTAACAAAGCGTCTGAGCGTCTTAAATTCTACGTTTCATTTGTGCAGCTTCAAAAACACCATTCACAGCTCGACCTTCAACATCTCAGCAGAAATACGTAGAGTTGTTCAAAAGTCTGAAGTCAGGGAGAGCAGAGCGACTACGTTTCCCATCAGCCCCGGCGTTCCTCCGCTCAAATTCAAAACAAACTTCCAGGAAATCAGAAACTTGCCGACGGCGTTAAATGGATCAAACGTCAAGTGAAGCTGACGGAAACACGACGTTCAGTTTGTGGTTTTTCGAGGGACGTTTCCTCGTCGCTGCAGTTTTTAACATTCATTCAGTTCAAGTCTGTTTCCTGAAGTTTGTTTCCACATCTCAGCTGTTCTTTAAATTTCAGCATCTCACGTCCGTTTGTTCGGGTTTCTGACGTTTCTCTCGTCCAGCTTCACCTTTTTCACATCTAAATAAAAAGCATTCAGCGGTTACAGTCGGTGGATCAGAACTAGAGCTTCGGGGGGTCGGTTGTGGGCGCGCTGGAAGGTTTCTGTTGAAGCTTCTGGTAATGTTTCTGAAAAACAAGAACAAAAAACGGGTCAAAAACTGTCCAAAGTGTCTTTAAACTGACTCAGAAATGGTCCAAACCAGCGGTATATAGATATAGGTTCAATGTGCACGTGTTCACACGTAGAACCAGAGTGAGGACGAGTGTCGGAGTGTGATGAACGTTGTGTTGGTGCGTCTGCACACCTGCAGGCTGTCGTAGTGTCTCTGGCTGCTGCAGTGCAGCTTCTTGGCGCTGATCTCGTTCAGGTAGAAAACAGAACACAGCTGACAGTAAAATCCGGATTTCGGAACCACAAACTCCTGACCTGCACAGACAAACACAAGCATGAGGAAAGCAGAGAGGCGCGTTGTGTGTGTGTTGCTGTTGTGTTGTCGTGTGTTGTCGTCACCGAGGGGGCTGCTGGGGCTGAAGGGAGGCAGCGTGAAGTCGGCGGCGCTACAAGGAGACTGAGGACGAAGCCTCTTGGCTTCAGGTCCCATCGGCTGCTTCCTCCGTTTGTCAGCAGCTGAAGAAGAAGAAGATGACGGACGGACGTTTAGAAGCTCACAGAGAATCAATGTGCTCAGGTTTGATCAGCTTCATGGAGTCAGAAGAAGAACTCCTGAAGTCCAGCTCAACATCCTGAAACGTGTCCATCTGCTGCTTTTCTTTGTCCTCCTTTTGAATCAACAACCACATTCACTGTTTCCTGACAGCTGACACACAAACACACTGGGACTCTGAATGTGCAGCGACTTCAATCACAAATCATCTGAAACGGTTGAAACAAGAAGAAGAAGCATTTTAATGAACCTTGAAGGCAAAAATTCACTTCATCAAGTTCTGAAATGTGAGAATTTGCTTCTTTTCTGTCGTCTGTTGCAGAAACTTGGAGTAATTTTTTACTATTTTCTAACAAATGACAGTTAAAGAGTCGAATAAATGAATGAATGTTTGTTGTTTTCAGAGCAGCAGCGACAGTTTGATCTCAGAGGTTAAAGGAAGGAGCGGTTCTGATCCTGGACACAGTGTGGCGCTCAGACGCCGCTCAGACGTAGAACTCTCTGTGTTCTGATGTGAAGCTGAACGTTACCGTCGGTGCTGCTCCGTCCCTCCGTCTCCTCCAGACATCCTTCCAGCTGCTGCCCAGCAGAGGCAGCCTCCTCCTGGGCTCCACTCGCTGCTTCCTCCTCCGTCCTCTGGACCAGCTGCTCGCCGCTC